CCGCCCCGGCGCCTGCCTCCCTGGGGGGCAAGCCGCCCCCCCCCCCCCCCCCCCCCACACATGCATACCTCCATGATGGACCGCGGTGCTAAAATCCCCTCATGAAAGCCAAGTGGCTGTTTTAAATCTCTTGGTGAAAATAGTGCTTGGTGTTTAAATGAGGCATACACAAAGCCACCAGAGGAGTTTCTTGGAAGCCCAGGGACCCCTGGCCTCGTTTCTGCGCCTACTTCGCTGTGCTTCCCTCCAATAAATGTAATTTTTATTTTCAGAAGTAGCCTGATTGAGAGGATCTAGGTTGTCCCCTGCCAAGTTCATTCCTTGCTTAAAAAAATGCGTGTGCTATGTAGACTTCTAATAGGACCAGCATAACAATTGCGGATGTCGTGCTAATACAGTCAGTGAATTGGGGTGATGCTCTAGTGCTTTTTTGAAACTAGAAATGTGCATTCAAATTGCTGTTTAGGTCATAGCCCTAAACGACTGTAAAGTTCCTGTTTATTCACTCAGGACTGAATCGCCCTTGACCAGAACAGCATTCTCATGAGCATGGTGTCATTTAAGTGAGATCTTGAAGTTCATCATGTGCCCTGAATTTTAAACTGCTTTGGAAAATGAATAGCTCTGGATGAGCATTTTTGTGGATCAGATCAGAACCGGTCAGAGGGAAGCCAGTGAGTCTGGATCCTGTTCCAAGAAGGAGCCTGGCTAAGGAGGTGTGAAGCTCTGCAGTTGTCAGGTATCTCCACAAGAAGCAATTTAGGGAACTGAGGATTCTGTGCTTAGTGCAGTTCAAATTTCACGCAGCTTTTGGGCAGTCAGTGAAAGCGGAGAAACCGTGCAGCTTTTGCAGTGCTTTTATCCCACCTGTCACTAGGGGTGTTTGCACAGAAAGGAACCAGCATGTCAGCAGCTGCATTCTTCACATACCTCCTCTGCAGCCAGCGCTGATTAGACAGCCAGCATCTTGGACCTCCATAAGCCCTCAGTCTAGTATCTGTCTTTCCTTAGGGGTATTTATTCCAGTTGGCTGCTGGAAAAACTTTGAGGGAGAAGGCAATTACAAAAAAAGCAGAGCAATATAAAAAGACATAGAGACCCTCCTGCACGTACTTTCTTCTAGGCAGTAGGCACTTGGAAAAAAATCAGAAATATGGGACACAGTAGTTTAATATTTTTCTCCTGTCTGCCTAAGTTGATCAAAAAGTGAAGCAGTTGTGATGGACACTGCTTTCAGGCACAGTACAGCTACATTTGAATTGTTGGGTACCTGGTTTCATTATGCATCCTACACCCAGTGAGGCACTGCTCATTCGTTTTATAATGTAGCTTCAAAGAACAAGAATCCCAGTACAAATCACTTTGAAACTGAAACCAGAGAAACATACAAGAGAAGAACAGAGGGGGAATGGATATGGGAGGAAAGAGAAAAGGAATTGTTTTAAGGGCTCAGATAAGTGGTTATTTAAAGAGGCATTGGTATTTTGTTTACAAGTAAGCAGGAATATTGTCAGGTCAGAGCAAGTGCACAGCAGCATAGATTACCTGCTGTTATGGAATATAATTATGACATGCCTAAAGGCAGGTGGCAGGTTAAGGTAAATACCCATTGGGAATAGACTTCCATACTGTGAGATTTAACCCAGTTAAAAACTTTTAATTGGGCCACGTAGGTTTCTTTAGTTTCCATACTTTCTTCTGTTGCTGCACCATGGTGTTAGAGTAGTTAAGATGGCAGCTTCCAAATTAGGGGTAACAATCCCAGATGGAGTTGAAGCAAAGTTGCAAGTCCCAAAGATGTTCAGATACTCCGCGTGGCAGAGGACCAGAAATAGTTGTTTATGGTCATAAGGGTAGGGTTATGAGCATAAAACACTGGTATCTGCCAAGTTAAGGCATCTTGCTATTGCTCCAGAGGTATGAGTGTGAGCCTTCTTTCAGGCTCATGTTGAAGGCTGATCCCAGTTGACTCGGCTGTACATGGATCCCTGGTTGTTCAACCTGGCAGTTAAGGTCAGTTGGATGTGATGCTAGCTACAACACTCCATTGTGTGCCACTGGCCCCAGAAAATAACATGCCTTAACTAAGTTAGCTTGGTGGGCCATTAAACTTGGAAGATTTTGACTTTGTGTTATTCTTTGGATTTTTATGTAGTGCTCTGGCAATCTACTATCTAATTTCTGTGATCTCTAGTAATGTAGAGCAGTGCTTTACAGCTGGTGTGCCATGGCACACCAGTGTGTTTGTGAAGAGCTCCCTGGTGTGCTGCGAGAATTTTGGAATAATAATAAGAAAGTTCTCCAGATGCCGAACACTAATGAATGAGTCACGTTGATGAGATTATTCACAAAAGACCCTCACCTCTGTTGGCCATGGGGGAGAGATGGCATCAGCCAAGCAGAAGAAAATTCATCTACTGGGCATGTACTGGCTGTGGAGGATGCACAGTTCATGAGCCTCTGAACAGCTGTGCCATGAAATTTTGCTTCAGCAATGAACTACAATGAGCTTATTAAGTATGGGGATGGGGAATGCCTTAACAGGTGTGCTGTAGAAAAAATGTATTAATGTGCCTTGGTCTGGAAAAGATTGGGAATCGCTGATCTAGAGGACTCTCAAAGTGCACCGTGTAATCAAGCTCTGCATGAAGTTCTTCAGTGCTGTTAATGATTTCTGCTGTGTTAGTTGCTACATTCCTATCTGTGTGAAGCAGCAAGGTGCAAGCCAAGTACTAAGGAGTCCATCAGGTGATATTCAGTTCCACCCCACTTCTAACTGCTGTAAGACACAACCCTCACTGTCTGTGGAGGGAGCAGTAGTCCAACCTTGACCTGCGGAAGGGTTGCTACATAAGGCTTTTGAGGAAAGTGGAGAAAGGAATGGGCTTTATTAGATTCTGCAAGGAGCTCCAAGTATTGGCAGTCTTCTAAAGCAAGTGTTTTGCCATTCAGGGTGAAGAAACAGCCAACTAGATCAAACCATAGTTAGTTGCCTTTGCAGGTGATGCTTAAAATAGCTTTACATAACTGTAAATATTCACAGCAGTCTACAAAGTGTCATATACTTGTCCTGTCCTGTGGAGCTTGCAGTCTAAGGCAGTGATTCTGTAGGGACTTGAACACATGCTTAACTTTTATACAATGAGTAGTCCCATTTAAGTCGATTGCTGTGCTTGCTTTCTGTAAAGTTCAGCAGATTGGTGTTTATCCAAATAATTTCTCTTTACAGGATTTTTATTGAAAATGCATTTTGGGGGTGAAAGCCCACTGTGCTATGAACACCACCTACAGAAAATAACTGGAATTGTAAGGAATCCGCGAATGACTTTAAAGATTTAAAGTGATCTGAAATGTAACTACCAGAAACATTTCTAGATCCTCTTAATGAACTTGAAACAACTTATCTTGAAGATAGTTGTATGTAACCAAGAAACAATGTAAAATTCAGACAGGCTTCCTGTTTGAAGACTACTGTAATAACAGTTGTGAGACTCACTTCCTGTTCTGACTCCCCTGAAACCTGTGTTTTTCATCTTTGGGTTGCTATTCTTTTTCTGGCACTACATTTTCAAAACTGCTTGCTTGTTTTTAAGAATAGTTGGTTATTTTAATCTTTCTAGTTTTTTAACTCGTCTCTGGGGCTAATAGTGACATGTTTCAGTGTAATGCAGTAACATTGCATCCATAGATTCAGTGCTCCCTTTTATTTTATTTTTTTCAAAGAATTTATGAGTTTCTGTCTTGACAGTTTCTCAGTTGCATGCCATTTTATTTTCTCTGACAGAGAGCCAGGTATTAATCAGACCAAGAGCTTGCAGTGTATGTCATATGGAAGTATCTGGGAGGAAAAAGGCGCAGTAGTACTGCTATACATCCGGTACTGAGTACAATTGCTTTAGGGAGAGAATAACTGGAAGTGACTGGAATTCTTAGAACTGGAAATGGTCTTAGCATAGTGGGGGAGGGAGGAAAACGTTGCTTTCAGCCAGGGCAGTCTTTTGTTCCCTTCTATGGAATGTGGCTAACATTTTCAAAAGTTCCCTGCTACTAAGTCCTTGGGCCCAGGCAGCGTGGTGTTTCTCATAAGATATTCTGAATGGCAGAACTTTCATATAGTTGATGGATCTTAGCAGCATGCAAATCTTGTATGGTTTATCCTTGATTAGTTTGTCTATAGTTTCCTGGAATCTTATTAATTTTCTATATTTTTTAAAATCTATAATAGAACACAATCCCTCCAATCCAGTTAGTGGGTGGCTAAGTGGCTTAGGGACCGCACCCAGAGAGTGGTGGTGGATGGGTTGTTCTCAGCCTGGAAGGAGGTGGGCAGTGGGGTCCTGCAGGGTTCGGTCCTTGGACCAGTGTTATTTAATATTTTCATCAGCGATTTGGATGAGGGTGTGGTGAGCACCCTTTCCAGGTTTGCAGATGATACCAAGTTATGGGGCAAAGTTAACACAC